AGCAGCAGCAGCAGCAGAAGGGAAATATCAGTGCTGAGCATTGATCAACATTCTTTTGGATCATTTACCTCTATTACTGCTGAAGGACATTTTTCTCCAAGAATAATGAACCCCTTGCCACTTTTTCCACTGAATTATGTGTCATGCCCTTTTCCTAGTTGCGATTTGAGTCATCTTGAATTAATCGCCTTCCATTAAGAGCTATACAAACACAATATACGACTACTCCCTCCACTAGGCAATCAATTAATTGTGATCCTGCGATCCTTTCCTTGCCCAAAGACGGAGACACACGCCCAGCGATTTAATGGGCTGCTGACAATGGGCCGATCCCGTCGATGCCCACAATCTCGCTTCGGCTTGGGTTTCTCTCTAGGATCTGAAATCGGGAATTGGGAATCGGGAAAGCGGATTAGCTGGCTTAGTGCAGTGGAGTGCCTACCGTTTCGGGGCTCTCAAGTGCGGACGGGACCTGCACTTGAGCTGCTCAAGAGGAAGAGGTGCGGGGTGGGGGACAGGGACATCATTTTTCAAAGACTTACATGAAATTGACTAATTTTTCGGGTACTTCTGCTGCTGCTGCTGCTGCCTTAGCCGTTGCGTTGCGTTGCACCTACAAATTTTTACCTGTCAGCAGGGCTCAATGTCTCTGCTTCTCTTTCCCTCGCCTTGCGGCTGTCTCTTTTCTGCAGTGTGGTTGTGTGTGAAGGCGACGCCTGCAAAGTGACACTCGCTGGGACCGGGGAAGTGAGGGACCGAGACAGAGACGGAGACGGTGCCGGAGAGGAGAGAGGAGAGAGAGAGCCAGAGGGAGGCCCATTGATGAAATTGACTTTTTATGTTGTTGCCGTTGCCGTTGACTTCTTTTCCGATTTTGCGTGGCACACAGACACAGTCGCTGTCGCTGCCAAGTCTCTGCCGCTGCCTCTGTCAACGCTGACGTCGGGAACTGGATCTGGAAATTTGGGATTAAGTTTTTGTTTACTTTGTGTGGCGTTTTTTAGTTTGTTTGCCCGCCTCAAGGAAGTCGGTTCGCTGCTGTGCTCTCCCGATCTACCGATCCACCGATCTGCCAAAAATCGTAACAATAAAACCCCACAACAGAGTCACAGAGAGAGAGAAAAATCGGTTAAGTGCTCGTAAATGGAATAAAGCCGAAAATTTATTACCTTATAAACCACATTAATCAAATGTCTTACAACAAGACCCATAAAATGCCATATAAATAATAAGCCAGCCAGCCACTCGCTCCGTTCTGTTCCGTTGCGTCGTGTAAATGTGCCATAAAACATTTCTGAATTTGTTGCAATTAATTTGAATGCATTTGTGTTACATTTATTTACACTTCCCATAACCCATCAATATCCAATAACCATTGTATACCTGATCGTATACCATACCCAACTGGTGTGCGTGTGTGCCCCATAAATCATTCCCAAACGAGCAGCGAATCACGCGAATTATTCGGCCATAAATCATGGGCATCTTGCTGAGTGATGGCGATGTAAGTTTACCCCCTCACATTCTTATCAATTAACTATTTTTTTATCTATTAATTATGCTTGTAAATATACCGTTGAACATGTGATTTAAGGGGCGGATTAATGGTTAAAGTAGCTATGGGGGGTTGAGGAAGGTCAAAGCATAAGTATTATAATTCAAATCAATGTAGTGGAAATTCCTCCATCTAGGGAACCACTTAAAGTCACGTATTATATGGAGAATTAACTTTTTTATCTACATTAATGAGGGATATTATAACTAACAGCATAATCGATCGAATGTTCAGTGAAATAGAGAGAAAGAGAGAGAGAGAGAGAGAGAAGCAACAGGTACGACTATTCTTCGTTGACACTTTCCATCCACTTCATCTCTTCGAAGACTAACCAAGTAATTAGTTATCTCATTAATGCACTCCTCGAATGGAATCTCTTGCCATCGCTTGTTGGTTATAATTTAATAATCCAAATCATAGTAGTTCCCGCCGCAAGTTGTGGGCTTATTAGCTGCCACCTGACAGGCGGCGGCAACTTGAATCGATGGCAACTACAGCTAACGCTTAAAGTAAAACAAAATCAAAGACTTAAACCAGCATCCGTTAGAGCCGGAGAAAGAGCGAGGGAAAGCAACGGTCGAGGCCTAGAGATCAATGAATGAGTCAAGTGGAGTGGAGTGGAGTGGAGACACTCGAGTGGAGTGTTCACTGCAATGTGAAGAGGTGTACAGGAGGAGTGCAGTGTATGGGAAAACAGGATCCGCCACTTGACGGCCGAGCGCCAGCTTGAGCTGGCAGCACCACAGAAAAAGAGAACAAGAAAAGAAAGATATAGCCACTCAAAGCGCCGCTCATCTTCAGGGTTCCCCTCTCCATCTCCAGTTCTCTTGATCCTACTCCCGCCTTTGCCTTTGCTTTCTGCTTTGTTGTCCGAGAGATCCTCCCAAGTGGTTTTCTCTGTTTGTTTTTATTCCTTCATTTGCGGTGACAAATTATTAACGTTCTACTCATCGCCGTGTCCTCAGATCTCCGCTCTTGCATCTCCTACTAGCACTGCCCTGATCCCTTGATCACTCTCGGCTCTTCTCTTTTATGAAATTGATTTTTTATTGCTGTTTATTTTAATTCCTCGCCTTCGCTTGGGGATTTCTTTCGATCGCATCGGATCGGTCTTTCCTTCTTTTGTTTTTTTGTGAATATTTTTTCGGTTTGTCCCTTTTGCTGATCGCATTTTAATAAGCGCCCAAGTCCAAGCCCAAGCGCCTTCTCAACCACTTCCAAGCGACGATCCTCTGCATGATCTGCATGGATCTCTGCTCTGCTCTCCACCTTTTCCCTGCCTCCCTGCCTGCCTGCCTCCCTCCTTCAACTGCATCTTGTTGACAATTTTTCGTGTGGTCGCCGCCTGCTTTGATCTTCGCGCTCTTTCGTATGCTCTCCATTGCGACGGCGCTCTCTTTGATCGAGTGATCTTCTAAGGGGAGCGACATCATTATGCACGCGTGGTCAACTCTTTGATAGTTTGGAGGTTGTTTTTCCCTCTGCCCTCTTCCCTCTCCGATCTCCTCTTCCCTCTCCCTCTCGTGCTTTGCTGGAATTTAAGGAATTGCATCGGGATTTGGTATGGTATGCCATGGCTGCAATTGATCTTCAATCTCTCACACTCGCTGCCGATTAACATGTTTGGACATGTGCGTGTTGGGGTCTTAAATATTATTGCCCATACGTCATGTTTCCACTCACTAAATCAGGCATGAGATACGTCACAGCTTAAGGCCATTCTTAGGGGTACATTGGCAAAAATATTTAACTTCCATTTTATGTTAATTCTTTCGGCTGAGAGTGTATGCAAAAAGTTCATATTTTATTTGCGGTTTTATTTACATTCGTGAATTTTGGTCATACTTTCTCATTTGGAAATATTAAAAGTACTTTAAAACGTGTATAAATTCGTAATAAATTAATATTTTACTTATGAATGTGTTTTAAATGTGCCATAACTTATTTGAAGTTTATTTTTAAATGATTTATTGAAATATTTCCATATTTTTTTTTGCTAATTTGCCAATAAGTTCATTTGAAATAAATATACATAAATAAATACATAAATTTATAGTTTAAATTAACTTTTTATTTATTTTAATATTTGCTTGAGCTACAAATTTCCAACAATTCTTTAACTTACCGACGGCACTCCACAAAAAAGGTTCTCCTTCGTCTAAATATTTTTGAACAAGTTAGTTTAATTCTAGCAAACAATTTAGTAATTATAATTTCATTCCACAAGGCCTTTCCTTTCCCCACCACCCCTTTAAAGGCCATCTGCTCGTAACAGAAATTTATTTGCGTCTTCCCCAGAGATGGAGAAAAAAATTAAAAATTTCATACATCATCGCATTAAATTTGTGGGATAAGATAAAGACGTCAAATGGTTTCCCCCTCTCTCTTTTTTTTTCTTCTGTTCGATTTTTTGTGCGGTTTGACTGTAAAGGCAATTTGGAAATATATTCCGTATGCGAGTATATATACGCGTATCCGCATAAATAAAATATGCAATTGGCGCCTTAATTGAATCCGATGTGAGGCACAGATTTCGTTGATCGTTTCAGCTTTTGGCTGTTGAACTTTTATAAGAGAAAAAACTCAATTTTGTGGGGGGGAAACAGGCACTTGAAGACTTTTCTTTCATTTGGTGCAAAAATGTTGAACGAACCATGAAAATGTTTCGAACCAAAAAAGGAACAAATGAAGATGCAAAGAATAAGAAGTGGAGAAGGACGGGGATTGAGATAACGCTCTGGGAACACTGAATATAAAGGAAATATATTTTTATAAGTATTTTATCCTATATTTATCCTTCTGCGGCTTCCCCTTTCCAATTTGCTTTCTCCACATGCTGAAGTGTTCTATCTTTTTTTCTATCTCTATTTGTTTTAATCGTATAACGAATCCTCGCTAGTGTATATCCAATATGGGTGCTGACTACCCGTAAATTACACTTTATGGCCCTGGCTGTGGCTGTGGCTGGTGTGCAACGCACACCACCTTCTGCCTGTCTGTCTCCTCCGGTTCCCCCCAAAGCCCACGCATCAGATAAGTGCTGGTCGAAGCAGAGATACAGATGCATACACACACATATCCAGATACAGATACACAGACAGAGAACAGAGAGCGATGCAGAGAGCGCCATTAAATGGAGTTGGCAGCCGAAAAGGGCGCAGTCTGTTGGAAAAACGAGTTCCGATCACAGCTTGAGGCAGGGTTTTGTGGCAGTGGCAGTGGCTGTGGCAGGGGAGGGATGAAGAGCAGATGAAGAAGGAGTTGCAGCCAGAAACCAAAATGGCTGCCAGTGCCAAAGGGGGTGGGGCCCGAAGAGACCAAAAAGAGAGTGTCCAATGGCAGCAAAGAGTGGTAGATAGAGAGGGAAAAGGGATTTGGGGGCATGCATGCAGAGTGAGACCTTCACAATGATCCAACTAATTGACAATCCTCTTCCTCCTTCCAGTCCACATCGGACCAGCAGTCGACACGCGACTATCCGCGCTTTAGCGGCGAGCATCAGAACGTGCCGCCGCCGCCGCAGGTTGCGCCCAGCGTCAAGATGTACCACAGCAGCGCCGTGGCGGCCTACACGGACCTGGCCGCCGCCGGGAGTGCAGCCAGCGCGGGAGTGGGAGTCTCCGGCTACCACCACCAGCAGGCTGTCAATGCACCCGTCTATGTGCCCTCCAATCGCCAGTACAACCATGTGGCCGCCCATTTTGGGAGCGCGGCTGCTGCGCAGAATGCCTGGACAACGGACAGCTTCGGATCGGCGCATGCGCAGCTGCCGGCACAGTTCTACACACAGAATGCGGCCGTGATGATGGGCTCCTGGCGCAGTGCCTACGATCCGACGGGGTTCCAGCGAAACTCGCCGTACGAGAACGCCATGGACTTTCAGTTCGGCGAGGGACGCGAGTGCGTCAATTGTGGGGCCATCTCGACGCCGCTGTGGCGACGGGACGGCACCGGACACTATCTGTGCAACGCCTGCGGGCTGTACCACAAAATGAACGGCATGAACCGACCCCTGATCAAGCCCAGCAAGCGCCTGGTGAGTGCAGTGAGTAGCCCGCCCCTGATCTTCTCCGGTTATGCGAGACTAAACGATCACCTTCCCTCACAGACGGCCACGCGGCGCCTGGGGCTCTGCTGCACCAACTGCGGCACCCGCACCACCACCCTCTGGCGGCGCAACAACGACGGGGAGCCCGTGTGCAATGCCTGCGGCCTCTACTACAAGCTGCATGGCGTCAACCGGCCGCTGGCCATGCGCAAGGATGGCATCCAGACGCGCAAGCGCAAGCCCAAGAAAACGGGCAGCGGTTCGGTGGGAGGGACAGGAGCGGGCACTGCCTCCGGTGCGGTCCTGGATTCCATCAAGGAGTGCAAGGAAGAGCACGGTAAGTGGTCCTTAAGCACGTGAATGTGGACAAGTGAATGAATACATATATTTTTGTCATTCCTGCAGATCTCAAGCCATCGCTTAGTCTGGAACGGCACAGCCACAGCCTCAGCAAGCTGCACACGGATCTGAAGAGCAGCAGCAGCAGCGGCAGCCTGATGGGGCAGCATCATGTCCAGCAGCAGCAGCAGCAACAGCAGGCCCTTCAGCAGCAGCAGCAGCAGGCGCATCAGCAGTGCTTCCCCCACTACGGACAGGCCGCGACGCAGGCGCAGCAGCAGGCGCAGCATCAGCAGCACGGCCATGGGATGAGCACACCCACGGCGCAGTCGCAGCTGAGTGCCAGGCAGATCCATGGAGCCGCTGGCTCCCAGCTGTACACGCCCGGCAGCAGTGCGGGCGGAGCAGGATCGGGAGCCTCGGCGTACACCTCGCACAGCGCCGAGACGCCCTCGTTGAGCAATGGCACCCCGTCGCCCCACTACCAGCACCACCACCATTTGGGCAGCTCGCACGGCCACCATGTGGCAGCGGCGGCCCATCACCACCTGCATGCGGCAGCCGCTGCAGCCGCTTATGGCGTGAAGACAGAGGCGACTGCCACCAACTACGACTACGTGAACAACTGCTACTTTGGGGCTTCCTTTGGGGCACTGGGCGGAGCAGCCTCGACGGCCGCCATGGCGGGAGGAGCCGAGTTGGCCGGATATCACCATCAGCACAATGTCATCCAGGCAGCCAAGCTGATGGCCACCTCCTAAGGGCCGCACCACACCCATACTTTGTGGCTCTGTGATCTCCTCGCCCATTCCCACCACCCATCTGTGTCCCCCCATCACCCCCTCCAGCACCAGAGCAAGTCCTCGTTGGAATGGCATTGAAAAGACTTTAGACGTTAGTCCCCCCGCCTCCATTCTTAGTCTAAGATTACATAGTTATCCCCTATGGCCTGTAAATAACTTGACTATACATATAGCAAGTCTCGTTGTACAAATCTGCATCTTTATCATCGCTCCATGGAGCTACAGTGCGTGTATGTGTGTGTGTGTGTGTGTGTACAGTGTGTGTATTGGTTGTGTTGCATTCGATTCGTTTTAGCTTCTTATTTTAATGATGATTATTGTTCCACTAGCTTAAATAGCCCCAACTATTCCTATTCCCTGTGTTACCAGCACGACCCACACTCCCCCACACCCCTCATAGACCATTTGGCAGTAGGCGTAATTACTAGTATTAATAATACTTATAATAATTCGTCAGTTTTGACATTCAGTTTAATATTACTAGATAAATAAAAATAAAATAAAATAAATAAATAAAATGAATTTCAAAATATGCCTATGGCACGAAAACTTAACATAACATAAGATCTAAATCATATCTAACAGGCAAAAGCTCATCAAAAAGGAAGAAGAAGAAAAAAGTCGTCAAAAAGGAAAAAGAAGAAAAAGTCTTCACAGTGGCGCCATGTGTCTGAATTTGGAACTATACAAGCAGTTGGATTTACTGCATACTTTCGGGTGTACATGTAACTGTATTCTACATGTAAAGTAAGAATTTAAGTTGCATACTTAAATATTATGATCTGCACCGTTATTTCAGATTTAAACACTGAAAAACACGTTAGATTAACTCCCATTTAACTTCTTTTGGAAGTTTGGATGCTTCAGGTATTTGTAGTACATCAGAATTCGATAAACGATAGTGCTGATAAACTCCAGAAATCAACGTTAAACCGTAATTCATGCAGGCAGCTAATCTAACAATCATTTCTTGACCAAATAAACCTCCTTTCGCAACCCTTGTTGACTGATGGGTTATTTTGGTCAATGTCACCTGGCGCCTGAAATACAAAGAAAAACATTAAAATAGAGTGTAAGCCGATAATACGCGGAGCGTGAGTGACATAATAAGTGAATAATTGGAATGGCTCGAGTGGAGCTGTTGAACTTTTGCCAGGGAATGCACGTGACCAGGGCCGGATTGCGGTTAGTTGTGGTGGAAAGTTGTGGCTTTTGCCAATCCAAATGTTTGCTTTTATGACATTGCAAAAAGTTAAAGAGTGGAAAAAGTCGGAAGACTGGGGCTATTGCATCACTTGAAGCCCCCCCTGGGGGCACTGACAGGTGGCTGGGTCTGGGGCTGGGGCTGGGGCTGGTGCTGGGGACACAACATCTGTGGACTGGAATCGGTGGAATGGGCGCCTGCAAGTGTGAAAATAAACGCCAATAAAACGTGAATCAACACGAAAATAAACCGAATCAAAATCAAAGCTGAAATGGAAGCAAAACGAAGCAACTATCAGTGGAATACTGGATGTAACTCGTTCGTTTAGCGGCTGAAGAAATTTTGGGGGCCGGTACAGGCTGTTGAATTTCTGCCTGATTTCATTTTTGATGGGCCTGTCGCCGAGGAAGCAGCTACAATTAGAGATAACGCAATCCACAGTTGCTGCGACTGTGGCCACATTTCCGCACGCGACTCTCTACGCAGAAAGAAATGATTGAGAGAGACAGGGAGAAGAGCAAGAGCTGCCGCCCCAACATGCAACATTGAGACATGGAAAGATAGCTATTGGTCACATAATCATGTCAAAAATGGCACCACAAGGGCCCCCCACACACACAGAGGCTGTGCAGATCGATGGGATAACTAGATCGATATTCTAAAAGGAAAGAAGGTCTATTCATGCTGGGATCTTCTGCTATCAAGTCCTGCCTTGTAGGACTCCTTCACATCTCTCCCACAACCTCTAAGGCAGAAGTCACGCAACCAACTCTTGGAGGGGGAGATCAACGGTAATTAAGGCGACTGCGTAACAAAAAAAACTTGCAACCAAGGTGCACGCGACAGGCGCACTGGCCAGCGGCCAGAGGCAATGGAGCACAAAAACCAAAAGCCAAAGAAAATGGAATGAAATGAAATGAAATGAACAACCGGACAACACAACACCCATGACAATGAAGCGGCAACATTCAGCGGCAGAGTCGCGTCTGCGTAATACCAGAAGTAGTCAACAGGTGAGCAACTTCCAAGGGGAGCGGGAGCGGAGCGGAGCTGCAGCTTGCCCCGAAGCAGGCCAGGGGGACGCCGTATGGCTGTGTACAGCGTGGCGCAACTTAAAGTTGTGTTGTTACAAAGGCAAACAAGTTGGAATGGAATCGTTTACGCGCTCAACGAAAGTAAAATTCAAAACAAAATAAAAATCCAAATATTAATATAACAAATAAGTGAAACGGCCAGCGGGAACCAGCTGGTGCGCTACAGTTGGCCCCTTGAAATGGGAAATATTAAAATTCATTTAAAATTAATTTGCTATAGACAAAAGCTCCCTAATGATTGTAGCGCATGTCAAACTCTTTTTTTTATTTTGCGACATTTCTCCCCCAGGCAGGGCGATGGATGGTTCGTTGGTCACCGCTGGACACCGGGCAGGCAGTTCCCAAATTGCGGAATTCCTACCACGAGTGCACAGGCAAAAAAAACTGGCCATAAGCAAAACGAAAAAAAAAACTAAAACGAACCAACTATTGTCAATGGTCTTTCCTTTTCGTGCAACATTTCTCTGCGATGGCCCCAGCACTTGGTCTCCAGCCAGCGACGGCAACGGTTGGGTGTACGGATCGCAGCTCGCAGTTTGAATATCTTTGAATATAAAAACACCCAAGGATTGATTAAACATGTTTACCATAACAAACTGGAAGTTGGCAATCAGTTGGTGCGGCATTATCGGCGCGGTTTGTGTGATGCCAGGCACCTACGGCGGCGCCTATACGCGAGAGATTGTGAACGATAAGCCGCCGCTGCAGGAGCGACGTGAGTAGGAGGAAGTGATTCTCCCTCTGCATTGATCTATAAATATCATTTACGTTTCAGCTGCCTGGCTGCAGACCTGCAAGCGATCCAATCCCAATGAGGACAAGTGCTTCCGGCGGCTCTTCTTCCAGCTCTTTCCAGCGCTGGCCGCTGGCATACCAGAGATCGGTGTCAAAAGCTTCGAGCCGCTGAACATCGATCAGGTGTCCGTGTCGAAGGGCAGTGGGAATCTAGTGCTGTCTGGGGGATTCCAGAACCTGGTCATACGCGGACCCTCCAATGCGACAGTGCGAAGGGCCAGGTAAGGGGGAATCAGTGGCTCAGCTATACAAAAAAGAGCTCCTTCTGAAGTTCCTTCTCCTTTGTGGTTTAGTTTGGATCTGGAGCGACGGCTGCTGAGCTTTGAGCTGGTGCTGCCGCGTCTGCGGATACGGGCCAAGTACAATCTGAAGGGAAACATTCTGCTGCTGCCGCTGATTGGCAACGGGGATGTGGCCATGGCCTTGAAGAACGTGCACACCACCGTCTACACGAGAATCTCGCTGCGGAACGAGACCCAGACGGGGGACGAGATCATCCACATTGACGAGATGAAGGTCAGCTTTGAGGTGGGGGCCATGCGCATCCACCTGAAGAATCTGTTTAACGGCAACGACATCCTGGCCGCCTCGATCAACACGTTCTTGAATCAGAACGGCAACGAGGTGATTGCCGAGCTGCGGCCGGACCTGGAGTTGGGGCTGGCCGACATCTTCCATGGCCTGTGGAACAATGTCTTCTCCAAGATGCCCACCAAGCTGTGGCTGGTATAGGTCTAGCTGTCTAGCTCTAGCTGTGCTCTACCTGTATTTTTATGATAATTTATTTCGCCTCTAACTGTGTGTCTGTTATCGCTAGGTTACTTTTGCACTACGATTAAATCATTAGCTAGGATATACGATATATAAAATCATTTTTTGGTGCTCTTCTTGGGCATCAGCTCGTCGTAGCTGTATTCCGCGAACATCTTATCGACAGAGGCGCGCAGGATATCCACCAGCGCCTTGGTCATCAGCGGGCGCACCTCCTCGGCCAGCGACTTCCAGTTTTCGTTGAGGAAGTCGTTCATGCGCTTGCCCAGAGCCTCGTCCCCATTGAAGAGATTGTCCAACTGCATGTGTACGTTGGACAGTTCATAATCCACCTTCACGTTGATGATCTTCAAGTGGGTGGCCCCATTCTTCTGATACTCCTGGCCGAACAGCTCCGTCTGCATGGTGATGTTCGCTGGAAAGTGAAATCAGACGTGACAATCCACTGCCGAGAGTCCATCCCTCTACTTACTCAGACTCACCTTGCAGTGGCCATCACCCAGCAGCGGCATCATCATGATTTTGCCCTTGAATTGAGGATTATTGAATCGAATCAGTTATCATTCCTGTCTGGGCGTTCATTCATATCCCCTCTACCGACCTTAATGCTGTACTCCGCCTCCATGAGCAGCTCTGGGAATGTCATCGAGAAGATGAACTTCAGTTTGCTGGGCTCGATCCGCAGGTCGTTCAGCGTGTGATTGGAAATGCCCGAGATCTTGACGTTCTTGTACACAGAATGCAGATAGATTGCCCCCGAATCCTGGTCCATCTTCACCTCGGGCACCACCAGCGGCTCCATTCGCGGTATATACATCTCCGGTATGCCGTTCATCAGTCGGGGCTCAATGGACTTGAACGACTTCCTCGCGCACTCATTCAGCGTTGGCGAATCTCGATGACAAACCGTAAGGAAGGATGCTGCATAAAAGGAATTTATGTTTGATTCGCAGTCCCAAAAAGAGGTTTTCACTTACGCAGGCGACTCTTTCCTTGGGGCTTGGCCTCTGTTCGTGCCACTCTCAAGAGCAGCAGCACCAGGCACGTCTTCGCTATCCACTTGTGATCCATTTGGTAGTGTTCCTTGTTCTAAATCTCCTGTCTGGCTTCTCCCTGCTGGTGGTTGGTGGCGAGTGTTTGCTCCGATGGCTGTTCACATGGCTTTTATAGCCGCCTTCTGTCTCGAGACAAGCTGACGCATTCCGCTTCTGCAGCACTTGCAGTTTTCTCGTGACATTGCAATCCTCAGCAGTTCTCAAAGCCAAGCTGTTTCCCCCTACCTCTATATATTCGTTGGATATATGTATGTATGTATATCGTATTGTGTTGTGTTATATGCAAAGTAATTCTGTAGGCAGCTTTGCTGTCATTAAGTTCTAGGAAGAAACACTCAAGTACACTCATTTTGCACCCAATTGTTCAGATTTTAATAGAACACGTAATTACATGCATCAACAGCTGCTAGAAGGCAGCTGAGCTTCGGGATACAAGCAAACCCCAAGTGTTCCCATTTTACACACTAAATTCATTTCTATTTGGGGAGTATATACTCGTACAACAAGCAGCGTTTAATAGCCAAAGGAGAATTGAATCAACAACATTCATCAAGTCTCACTTTTGGTGCAACATAAAAACAAACAGAGGTATAATTAAAATACAAAAATATTAAAAACTTACAAATGCAGTTTCTGCGATAACTAATAACTAATAATAAAAGTTAAAAAAAACGAGTAAATATCGACTAAAAACAAAGTGCGGCATCGTGCCATGCTTTTGATTAAATATCTGTTGGTGGTAATTACTGAAGCCTCAGTGGAGAGACTAAGACAGATCGATTTCCATGTCAGTTCGTAGCCTGAAATAAAACAGAACCCAAGTGTAAAGACAACAAAGTGTCAACTCAAAGTGGCTGCTGCACTCACATCTCACTGAGACGGTTTGCCTCGTCGATCATATTGTTCGTTGTTAGAGAATCAAAATCCGAGCTGTCGCCCATTGAGTTCATTGTCAGTCGTCCCATGGAGTTGCTAAGCAATAGCACTGGAGGTGGGACTCGCGATGCGAATGCCGATGTAGATGCAGAGGCAGAGGCAGCGGTGACCAACATCTTGAAATGCAATTGAAAGATCTGCTCTTTGATTTCGGCGAATTTCTTTTTGGCTGTCGTCTCAGCCATCTTGGTCTTGATGAATAACAAATGCAGCTTATCAATTTCCTTGGAGTTGGCCTTGGCCCGTTCCACCTCCTGGATAGGAGTCGTAAACTCATAGACAGCTTTGCGGAACTGCCCGAGAGATATTCCATCCAAGAAATTACGCTCGAAGGCAGCCCTAAGCAAAGCAACGAAGAGAGATCAGTAAATGTTGTGGCTGTGGCAGAGAATGGGGTATGGGGAATCCACTTACAAACCAAATACGTCCCTTGCCACACAGTGATTAAAAAGCTGGCTTGTTTCATCCACCATACGTCGGGCACCGCGCAAACAAGACTCGAAGTGTTCCTTGATGGTTCTGGCAATGTTGTTCGTCTCCTGGTATGTGTCTGCGAGTAACTTCCAGTCGGCATCATTTACCTGAAATCCAAATCATTATTCAACAGCTCCAACGAATTCTTTCAGTAGATACCTGAGTGGACATCTTTTGCTCTTGGACAGCTGCTGTGCGCAGCCTCTCGAGCATTTTAATTGCATCGGCTGTGGTGAGTATTTGATCGTTTATGGTTGCAATGAACTGATTGGTGACAATCTCATCCTCCAGCAGCAGGGCACGCTCTCGGATGCCCGTGAGGAACATTTCCAGCAGCTTCTGCTGCTCCGCCAGCATGTAGTGCATGTCCCGCGCAAGGCGCTTCAGCTTCCAGGGCTTGTCCGTTTGGAAACTTTTCAGCATGCAGGTCTTCATCAGCTCGGAGACGCTCGGCGCGGAGTTAAGATAGTAACACTCGCCCGTCGTCGCCTGGAAGACGAATAACATCACAGGGGGTGGGGGTATTTGGGTCGATTTGCGCGTCTCGCTGCTGGTGTCGCTCCACTCCTGGACATACAGATCCAGGGGTCTGGTGGTTGGCTTCATCCTCTCGTGCGGATGAGTGGTGGGCAGGACACAGTACACCTCTCTACTAGCTAGCTTTGTGTCACGGCAAATCAAACCGTTAAGTTCCTGCATCGTCATGTTCGCCGTGACGGCATACTCCAGACGCTTGAAGTCGTTCACAGCGAATATCGTGAGCACGCGCATCTGGAGGAGCCTGTCGAGGTTGAAGAAGACGGCCGGAACAGGAACCGGACCCGAATGTACTTCATCAGATGCCAATTTGCCGCGTCGCTTGTAGTTGGTGTCGAGGGCCTGACGTAGCCACGGGACGAACTCCCTGGACCATGGCCCCGTCAGATGGTTCTGCTTTGGCAGTTCTGTTTGAAAGAGAAAACGACTGTCATCCTGCAGATCCTCCGTAATGGCAATGCAATCGGGCTTCTTGTTGAGCAAATTGACTAGAATATTCTTGAACGTCTGGTGGGGTATGAAGGGCAGCTCTCCGGTTGCCAGCTCATAGGCAATGATCCCAAGAGACCAGTAGTCCACCGCCGTGTTGTAGAAGCCACTCTCCACCACCTCGGGGGCAAAGTAGTGGCGTGTTCCCACCACACTCTGCAGTATCGTCTTGTCGGGTGAATCGCGCGCCAAACCGAAGTCCGTGAGCTTGTACGTCTTGGACCCATCCTTCTGGCGGTGTATCACGATGTTGTCCGGCTTGAGGTCGCGATGGCACACTTTGCACTTGGTGTGCAGAAAGTGCAGGGCCTGCCGCAAGGCGCCCAGTATTTCCCGAACTTCGAACTCAGTCAGTCCGTTGGCGTTCTCTGGGATCTGCAATTGCTTCCGCACATCGCCCCCATTGCAGTACTCCAGGATGATTACGGGCAGAGGGCAGCTGTGGTGGTCATTAAGGTAGTCAACGAAGGCTGCATCCTCTTTCTCTATGCACACGCCAGCCACGATGTTTGGGAGTTTCTCAAACTCACGCGTCCACTTCAGCTCCTCCACCCATCGCTCTTTCAACTTGACTTGCTGATCGGCCGACAGCGAACTCGTCTCCTTGATATGTTTGGTGGCTGGAGAAAATAAACAAACGAAGGGTTATTATCTCCGAGACGCAGAAAGTGATTCTACATGAGTCAGTTGCGACCGCACACGTAGAACAGACCACACACGACCAAACGGCCCTTTGATAACAGCGATCGTTGCCTTGAGGAAAAGCTTGCATCAGCACAATTCCAGGAATCGGACTGTTTTCACACTACATCCGCAAAAAACATATCCGTATATGGAAAGTGGAGCGCGCATGTGTGCTGTGTCGCAAAATGTTCTTACCTATTTCGAGGCCGGTGTTCGTATTCCGCCAGTGCAGAACATTGCCAAAGCCGCCCTGGCCCAGCTTTCCCAGCAGTTGCCAGTTGCGAAAGGAGTCCATTTTCATTTACTTTATTTTACGTTCAGCTCCAACTCCAGCTATTTCCCCATTTCCCGCACGAACAACCAAATAGCACAACGATTTGTTAGAGATGGGCGAATATTCAGAAAATTAGCAGGCAATTTTTCAAAATCACTCAATGATAGAGAAGATACGTAAATTTTATAGTTTTAATAAAAGTCAATCTTGTTCTGCACTGGGAGTTTACATAATACATAATTTAGGTTCTGCCAATCGTTAATCCCAATTTGCCACAACGGTTGTGGCACAACCGTTAAATGTTTACTGAAACTGTGATTTCCAGTCACTGTTTGTGCCAAAGCGATACTCCCTTCACCAGAGTGAACGATATGGGTATCGATTTTAATATACCATCTCTAATCAAACAGGTTGTAAACAAAAACTGAAAAACTGCAATTAACAATAAAAGAAAAGGGGAATACTCGTCACCACCCACCCGCATGCTTGTGTTAAAATGCGTTTCCAAATGAAAAGTGGCAGTGATGATAACGACATTGTGGCAGCCACAGCTACTGCCGAGCATATACGGAAATTCGTCTTCACCAGCAGCCACGCAGCCGAGCGTCTGGAGATCAAAATACCCGAGGTGCGTATAATTAAACTTCAGCTCAGACTGCCACTGAATGCTCTGCTCTTGCGTTGGCAGCTGCTCCAAGGCGCCTACTCCTTCTACACATGGCCCTGTGCCCCCGTCTTGGCTCATTTCCTGTGGGAACAGCGACAGACACTGGCCGGAAAGCGGATTCTGGAGCTGGGTAGCGGTACTGCTCTGCCGGGAATACTGGCCGCCAAGTGCAACGCCCAGGTGGTACTCACCGACAACTGCATACTGCCGAAGTCCCTGGCGCATATCCGCAAATCCTGCCTGGCCAATCAACTGCAGCCCGGCGTGGATATCGATGTGGTGGGCTTAAGCTGGGGGCTGCTGCTGAATTCCGTATTCCGGCTGGCGCCCCTCGACCTAATCATAGCCGCCGATTGCTTCTACGATCCCAGTGTCTTCGAGGACATCATCGTTTCGGTTGCCTTTCTCCTTGAACGGAACTGCGGGGCCAAGTTCATTTTCACATACCAGGAGCGTAGTGCCGACTGGTCAATCGAGGCCCTGCTAAAAAAATGGAAACTACAGGCGCTGCCCATAAACATGGACGACATTGGCAAGGAGTCGGGCGTGGATGTGCTGGAGTTTATGGGCGGACACACCATTCATCTGCTGGAGATTACGCGTGCTGAGAACAGTGCTTCAATAAATACAATATAGTGACAAATCAATCATGGCATTTTTCTGTTTAGATTTTCGCGCCCTTTAGCGGATCATGTGTGCAGTTTATGCTGCAACGCTTATCGCACAAAAGTATCGGTATTTTTTTTTGCAAAAATATGCAGTCCTTAAAATCACCCACCAATAGATTATCAATACATCGATATAGCTGCGCGAGCGACGCTTTGGTCGCTGCTTTTAAGAACATTTATTATTTATTTAAAACTGAAATTCCAAGTAATTTTTGTGGCAGCCAGTGTGCAAGACCTTCGTTTGGTTTTTTATTATTATTTATTATTGCTGCTGCCACAAAGCCCCTTGTTGGTGTGTGCGTCGTGAGTGTTTAGAGAGAGTGTGCAAGTGTGCTTGTGTTTCGCCTGTGAAAAATCGAAGTTATTGCATTGCGCAGCCTTTTGCCCCCGCAGTCCTATATGCCAAGGAATTCCATGCTAATAGTGAGTCTTAAACACTTGAGTGCATCGAAATGTTTTAAGGTTTGTTGTATGCCGTTCCGGCAGCTGCGATGCTGCTACTTCTGTGGGCGTCGCTTGCGGTTGCCACTCTGTTGGTGGCATGAATTACGTCTTACGACACTCTGCTGCGCTTTTGCAGCTATCCAATTGCATTTACTGGAAATTAATATCTGTCCAATGAGTTACTGGAAGGAACAAACGGTAAACGACGGCATTTTGTTGACGCACAGCCCTGAGAGGCAAACATTTGTTGTTGCAATTGATCCGTTAATTCGAATGCGGCTGCGCGTCATTGTGTGTGTGTGAGAAAGGGAGAGTGAGAGAGCAAGAGAGACGCTCTGGCGAGGTCAAGCCGATAGCCGACTTGTGGAATGCTCTACACTGACTTGTACGTCTCTGGAAGGTATATTAAACACTTAAACACTTGAGTGCATCGAAATGTTTTAAGGTTTGTTGTATGCCGTTCCGGCAGCTGCGATGCTGCTACTTCTGTGGGCGTCGCTTGCGGTTGCCACTCTGTTGGTGGCATGAATTACGTCTTACGACACTCTGCTGCGCTTTTGCAGCTATCCAATTGCATTTACTGGAAATTAATATCTGTCCAATGAGTTATGGAAGGAAAAAACGAAAAACGTTTTACGCTTACAGCCTAGGGCAAACTTTGTGTATTCCGTAATTCATGCGGCTGCGCGTCATTGTGTGGAGGGGGTGAGAGGAGAGCGCCTGGCGGTTCAAGCCGATAGCCGACTTGTCACCTTTGCTGGAAGGGATTAAGGCAGTGTCGCTGTAGAAGCCATTTTCGACGATTCTGTCTCACCTTATATATATCAAATATACCTTGCCACATAGCAAACAGGAGCTTGCGTGCGTGTGTCACCTTTGCAAGGGATGAATATGCGCCTGATTTATGCCCTGTTGCTGCACTGGAAACCCTACACGGCGCTTCATTTCTGTTCTGTTTTTTGGGCGATGAACTCATCCTGGGGCCTCGTCATCGTCTGGAGACAAGCCCATGAAGCGCAAGAAGCGGCGGCGACATGAACTTTGCCCAAAAACTAATTTGCACGCCCAATTCTATTTCTGATTCAAAAAAAGAAGGCAGCTTCTAAATATGGACCGGCCTGACGTCCGACCCATTTAAATGTTGTCGCCTCTCTGCCGCCGGCGCTACCACCGCCTTAGGTGCAATCGCTCAGGCGTGACGGATGCATTCCCGTGGGGGTTTCATCCACAATTAAGTTCAATTTTAAAACATTAGCTTTGATTGCTCCTGACACTCCACAAGTTCTGCTCCATTGGGGTTTTGCAGTTGATTTCAAAATTCCGTGTAACATTTCATTATTCTCCTCTTTGTTCGATAGATTGGTCATTGAGATACAAGGTTTCCAAATAAATCACTGAGAAGAAACCCCAGACAGACGCCAGATATACCAGACCCCACATCATGGCCGAGGATACGGAATACAAGAAGCTGCCGGTGGAGGAGCGATGCGTACACAAGCTGTGGAAGGCCCGCGTCGATGGCTACGAGGAGGCAGCCAAGCTCTTCCGCGAGCTTGATGACGAAAAGTCCCCGGAATGGTCAAAGTTTGCGGGACTCATCAAGAAAATGGTTGTGGACTCGAATGCTTTGGCCCAGGAGAAGGGTCTCGAGGCGGCACTTATATTTGTGGAGAACAGCGGCCTGGCCGGTCGCACTGTCGGCGATGTGATGTCAGGCATTGTCCAGAAATGCATTGCCGCACCAAAGACCAAGACCAAGGAGCTCTCTGTGCTGGTCACGCTCATGTACGTGGAGATTGAGAAGCAGGAGGCTGTTGTCGAGGAGCTGGTCAAGGGCATGGACCACAAGAACCCCAAAATTGTGTCCGCCTGCGTGGCAGCCGTCACCCTGGCTCTGCGTGAGTTTGGCAACAAAGTCGTGGGCGTCAAGCCGCTGATCAAGAAGCTCGCTCCACTAATGTCCGACCGCGACAAGGCGGTTCGTGACGAAGGCAAGCAGCTGGCCGTGGAGATCTATCGCTGGATCGGGGCCGCCATGAAAGCACAGATTGCCACCCTGCCGCAGGTGACACTCAAAGAGCTGGAAGATGAATTTGAGAAGCTCAAGGGGGAGCGTGCAGAGCCCTCCAGGTTAGAGAACTAGGACAACTCATTACCGTTGAATATTCCTCTAATTTGTGTTTTTATTGCAGATACCTCAAGTCGCAGCAGGAGAAACAGGCAAAGATTGCAGAGACGGCAGCCAGCGAGGATGTGTATAATGGTAATTGAAATGTCATTTAAATTTCGAGACGTTTTTTTCGATTTGTTCTCTGTATTTTTGGCTTCATCAGACTCCTTTCATGCTCCATAGGGGCGGGAGTAACTTTTGTTTGATTTTTTATGTCAAAAAACCTTTTAATTCGTATATTTATATTTGTTGTGTGTTTTATTCGGAACAAGAAATGATAATCCCAAAAGAAAGTATGTGTACCAATTAATCCATTGCATATTCTGCAGGGAAATAGAAACATAATAGACAAAGAACTGTGTCCAATAATCCCCTTCTAATGCCCTTCCCTGTATCTGCTTACAGAAGAGGATGGCGATGCTGGGACTGAAGAAATGGATCCCATGGATCTGCTTGATCCTGTGGACATACTCTCCAAGATGCCCAAGGACTTTTACGACAAACTCGAGGAAAAGAAGTGGACACTCAGGAAGGAGTCACTAGAGGCGCTGGAGAAACTGCTCACCGATCATCCCAAGCTGGAGAGCGGCGAGTACGGAACTCTGGTGAATGCCCTGAGGAAGGTGATTACCAAGGACTCCAATGTGGTCCTGGTGGCCCTGGCTGGCAAGTGCCTGGCCATGTTGGCCAAAGGATTGGTCAAGCGCTTCTCCAACTATGCATCGGTGAGTGGTTTTCGAGGGAATCTATTGACCAATCTAATCGGTGAAATCCTCTTTCATCCTCCTCGCAGGGCTGTGTGCCATCGTTGCTAGAAAAATTCAAGGAGAAGAAACCCAATGTGGTGGCTGCCCTACGGGAGGCCATGGATGCCATTTACATGTCCACATCGCTGGAGGCCCAGCAGGAGGCCATTGTGGAGTCGCTGGCTAACAAAAACCCCACAGTCAAGTCTGAGACGGCTCTCTTTTTGGCCCGCGCCCTGTGCCGCACCCAGCCCACGGCCCTGAACAAAAAGCTGCTCAAGCTGATGGCCACCAATCTGGTGAAGACCCTCAACGAACCGGATCCCACAGTGCGCGACAGCAGCGCCGAGGCCCTGGGCACCCTGATGAAGCTGGTGGGCGAGAAGACGCTGGAGCCACTGCTGGCCGATGTGGATCCCCTCAAAATGAGCAAAATCAAGGAGGGCTACGAGAAGGCAGAGATCAAGGTGAAGATTGTCGGCCCCAAGAAGGAGACGCGTCCAGCCTCTGCCCCGCAATCCAAGGCGGGTGGAGCAGCCAGACCCACGGCTGGCAGTGGGGCACCCAAGGCAGTGTCACGACCAGCAACATCTGGAGCACGAAAGTTGGTCAAAAAGAATCCTGCAGCCGCAGCTGCGTCTTCTGCTGCCGCCTCCAAGGCAGCTCCCGGCAAAGCGCTCGCCACCGAGCGTGATATGCCCTCGGAGGAGGTGCAGGCCAAGGCAGAGGAGATTCTGTCAGCCGAAATACTCAGCGGATTGGGGGACTTCAATTGGAAGACACGCCTGGCTGCCGTGGAGCAGCTGCTGGGCGAGATACCCAGCTACGATGCCAAGCAGCCGGGCATCTCCCAGGTGCTGGTGCGCACCGTCAGTGGCCGCAAGCCCGGCCTGAAGGAGATGAATTTCCAAGTGCTCAAACTGAAGCTGGACATCATACGCTGCGTCGCAGAGACCTATCCCCTGACCACCACCACCGTGGATCATGTAATCAACGAGATCACCGAGAAACTGGCGGATGCCAAGAACGGACCTGTGGCCGGCGATGTTCTGTCCGCCTTTGCGGAAGCCACCAAGCTGGAGTACGTTGTGGGTAAGGTCCTGAGCTTTGCCTTTGAACAAAAATCCCCGAAAGTGCAGTCGGAGTCATTCAATTGGGTGGCCAAGGCCATCACGGAGTTCGGCTTCCAGATGCAGCCCAAAATGCTGATCGAGGACGTGCGCAAGGGCGTGCAGAGCACCAATCCCACAGTGCGCGGTGCCGCCATTCTTCTGGTGGGCACCATGTCCATGTACATTGGCCAGGCACTCATGATGTTCTTCGACAGCGAGAAGCCCGCTCTGAAAACGCAGATTCAATCGGAATTCGACAAGAATGTGGGCGAGAAGCCACCGCGTCCAGTGCGTGGAGCACAGCGGGGCAGTGGTGGCGGAGCCAGCACACCGGATGGCGGCGATGACGACGACGAGGCTGCCGGCCAGGACGAGGACATGGCCTGCAACATGGCGGATCTGCTGCCACGCGTGGACATTGCACCACAGATCACGGAGGCGCTGCTCAAGGAAATGTCCGACAAGGACTGGAAGATGCGCAACGAAGGACTCACAAAGCTGCAGGCCATCATCTCGGAGGCACGGCTCATCAAGTCCTCCATCGGTGACCTGGCCCCCGCTCTGGCCCATCGCCTCGTGGACTCTAATGCCAAGATTGCCCAGACGACGCTCTCCATCTGCGAGCAGCTGGCAACGGCCATGGGCTCCGGGTGCCGCAACCACGTGCGCACCCTCTTCCCGGGATTCCTGCATGCCCTGGGCCATGGCAAGGATTTCGTGCGGGCCGCCGCCCTCAGCTGCATCAACACGTTCGGCGAGAAGGGCGGCTACAAGGAGTTCTTCGAGAGCGAAATGATTGCCGATGCCTTGAAGGGACCCTCGACGGCCCTCAAGGTGGAGCTGTGGGCGTGGCTGGCTGATAAGCTGCCTGGGATTCCGCCCAAAACGATTTCCAAGGAGGATCTCCACTCGATGGTGCCACAGCTGTATGCCCACATCTGCGATCGAACGGCCGATGTGCGGAAGAACGCCAACGAGGCGGTGCTCGGGGTAATGATTCACCTGGGATTCGAGGCCATGAACCGGGCGCTCGACAAGCAGAAGCCCGCCTCCAAGGCGGCTATTCTGGCGTCTCTCGAAAAGGCGCGTCCCAATCTGCCCGTCAAGCCGCTGCCGAAGGGCAAACAGCAGGCGCCCATACTTGAGGATCCCGCCAAGAAGACAGTACGTGGAGGAGGTGCCGCCGGAGGAGCTGGAGCTGGCGCTCAGAAGGCGACCAATGCCAGGGCCACAGTCGTAGGCGAGAAGGCGGCTACACCATCGCGCAAGAAGGAGGAGGATGTGGACACCTCGCCCTTGCTGGCTGTGAATACGGCCAAGAACCAGCGACTCCTCGACGAGCAGAAGATGCGTGTCCTCAAGTGGACCTTCACCACGCCACGCGAAGAGTTCAACGAACTGCTGCGCGAACAGATGACAACGGCGAACGTGAACAAGGCGCTGATGGCCAACATGTTCCACGATGATTTTCGGTAGGTCCTCCTGGTCTCCCACTGCTGACAGGCTCTAATTTGTACCCTCTGCTATCCGCAGTTATCACTTGAAAGTCATCGAACAGTTGAGCGATGATTTGGCCAGCAATGGCAAGGCTTTGATCTGCAATCTGGATCTGATACTTAAGTGGCTGACGCTGCGCTTCTACGATACGAACCCTTCAGTGCTGCTCAAGGGTCTCGACTATCTGATGCAGGTCTTCCAGATGCTCGTCGGCGTGGAGTATATCTTGGGGGAGAACGAGGCCGCAAGCTTTGTGCCTCATTTGCTGCTCAAGGTAAGGCATTGGCTTATACCTCTAGAATATCCCTTTAATCTTTATATTTTGCCCTGTAGATTGGTGATCCCAAGGATACGGTACGCAATGGCGTGCGTCGCGTCCTGCGACAGGTGTTGTTGGTCCATCCCTTTGGCAAGATCTTCCCCTACGTCATGGATGGCCTCAAGTCGAAGAATGCCCGACAGCGCACCGAGTGCCTGGATGAGCTCACCTTCCTGATTGACTCGTATGGCACGTGCATCTGTTCGAATGCCTCCATCAAGGAAATCTCTCGCCAGATCTCCGATCGCGACAACTCTGTGCGCAATGCGGCCCTCAACTGCATGGTGCAGGTGTTTTTCCTCACCGGCGAGAAGCTCTACAAGCAGCTCAACCATCTCAACGAAAAGGATCTCTCAATGCTGGAGGAGCGCGTCAAGCGAGCCAAAAAGACCTACAAACCGCCATCGGCTGCAGCCGCAGAAATGCCGAGCGGTGGAGGCGCCGCCAAGCTGGCACCGCCTGTACTCCAGCAGCAGGAGAGCATTGAAATCGAGGACGCTGTGGTCGGCAATGGCTATGGGGATGAGCTGCCGCCGCCAAGCGACGGGTAAGACTTAAACTAGCCACCATTTTCGGATTCGGTATTGATGAATGTCTTGCGCGCTCTGGGGATGGGAAACTACTGGCAGAAACGAGATCTCAAGAGTTACTTGAATGTGTTACATTTGTTCTGTTTAGATTCATTTATATTAAAGCCACAGCAAAGGAATTGTAGATCGATTCTGAGCCACTGTTCCAGCTAGAAGAGAGTCTCCTGCCATCTGACTTCTGGCTAGCCAGTAGTTTCCAGTCAGTGTTTGAAAATGTACAATTTGCAGTCGCAGCAGCTTGCAGCGGACTAGCCACGAGAAACGTTTAACAATAATTTAAAAACTTACGCCGACTGTAACTTTTCACACACTGATTTCTCTATCCTGTGGGTCGCAGTAGTTTGGATATTTTTTCGATTTTTCGTTGATTATTTTTTCGTTAACCATTCATATTAATTTTCCATCGAATCAGCTTGCAGAGAGAAAGCAACCAAAAGGATAGAAATGGCACGAATGTGACGGCCTGTTTGAACTCCCTGACTCGACAGGCGTAAAGTTGCTTTTCTTTATACTTTCCTTTACATGTTTTGTGATTCGTTTGTTGCTTTGCCTTGTTTGTCATTGTTTGAGTGTAGTTTGCTTTTGTTATATCGTCGCTTGTGTATTTTATGTGTGTCTACAGCCAGAGTTCAACTTACATTTTGTTTGCATCCCTTTGCAGAACCTTCGACCAGGCACCGTCCTCACAGCTGCTCCAATTGCAGCAGCAACTGCAACAGCTGCAGCAGCAGGCCCAGCAACAGAGGCCCAGTGGACCCTTTGGCTTGGACTCGCAAGTCATAGCAGACATCGAAAAGGATTGGGTTCGTGTGGATCAAATGGTATTTAAGCAGATACCCTCAGTGGACATATCGCTTCTGTACGAGCCCATTAAGGTGATACCCACACGTGGAGGCGTCCAGTATCCGCAGGATAAATTCGATCGCCTCATCTCGCGTCAGCACTACATGCAACAGACTCTCACAACGCCCCCCTCAGCCAATGCCAGCGTGGCCAGCGGCATCTCGCCCTACCGCAGTCCCCCGCGCAATCAGCAGCAGTACCAGCAACACATGGACAACCATATTCCCAAGTAAACAGAAGAGTAAATCTCAATCTCAATGTTAAGAACCCTTTTCATTGCTTTCTGTCTATGTTTGCAGTCTGGCTGATGTCCTTCCCAAGCATGACCCACAGCTGGTGAAGGTGATCAAGGCTGTCAGCAGCACGGACACCATGAAGGCTCGTGCGGCCATCAACGAGCTGGCGGCCATCATTGAGTCGCCCGAGAAGCAGGCCGTGCTGCGCGACTACGAAGAAATATTCATACAAAATGTGCTGGCACAGTTGAAGGTGAGACGACACCCAGGAGCACTCCCTTTAGACTGATCCACTTATTTATATTTCCTTTATTTGCGTTGCAGAATCTTTCCCAGCTGCCCACGGCACAGTCTTTGGTGGTTTACCAGCCGCTTTTGTCCATTTTGTATACGTTTTTCCATGCCAACATTCTGGGCAAAACGCTGAGCGTGGCCTGCATCAAGAATCTCATGTCTGCGCTGCTCCACTTGATGGCCGATCCCAAGTTGACCAACGGCGAGGACAGCCAGTACAACAAGGTGATCAATGGCATCTGTCTGAAAGTGCTGGACAAGGTTAATTTCACGAATTTAAATTGGTGAGTGGACAACTCTTTCCTTGCCTTAGATGCGAAAATTAACGGCGGCTGCTGTTTCTAGTGCCCTAATCCGTTTGCTGCGTGAAACTTGCCCGGTGGCAGGACTGCCCAAATTCACGGATCTGCTGATGAAATGCATTTGGCGAAACGTTAAGATGCTGCCGGAGCGCACCAATGAGCTGAACTACGATGCCGTGATATTGGAGGCGCATGAATTCATGCTGGCACTGCCCAGCACCTGGTGGCAGACACGGCCATCGGACACACCTTTGCGCACAGTCAAGACGATTGTCCACAACATGGCCAAGGTGAAGGGAAATGCCATACTGCAGCATCTCAATCAGATACCGACACACTCGGAGTTGCACACGTATTTGATACGCATCCTGAAGGTGAGAAAAGGTCCTTCAATCGCTATAGAGATGTGTTTAACCGAGTAGAAATGTTTTTCTAGAATTTCCAAAAAGATGGCTCTTCGGCAGGGACGGGTGCCTCGCCACAAAGAGCCAAGGAGATTGCCTCGAAGCGTATCTCGCATCAGACCCATGACACAGTATCGCAAATCTTCAAGCTTATCTCCGACAGAGAGACCAAGCAGCAGGGACTGCAGAAGCTATACGATTTTAAGGTAATTTCCTTTAGATCTTCATTGGCATTTGTAACTCATTGAAATATCTCTTTTTTCTTTTAGCAACAAAATCCAGACATAGATTTGAGCACCTTCCTGCAGGGGTCCAGTGTCACTTTCCACAAGTACATCGAGGAGGGTCTGGCGGAGATTGAGCGCAGCCAGAAGGGAGTGTCCGGCTCCGCTGGACAGGCGCCGGACAATCGCATGGGTAAGCGTGCAGGCCATAGACACACACATCCCATACTAACCATAACATATAACATGTGGCTATGTGTTCTGTATTTCGACACTCCCAGCAGCTGCTACACGTTCTTATCTCACAGATGCCAACAACCATCAGAATCAGAATGCTGGCACTGAGCATGATGCCGACTTCTGGATGGACCGACTGCAGTATTTGATGGGCGGTGGTGTCGGTGTCGGTGGGAAAATGATGTCCACACGCCATACGGCTGACGATGGCTCGCGCATGATGATGGACAATAAGGTGGCCGATGAGAATCTCTGCTTGAGCTCGATGAACTCCCAGAAGGGTTCGCTTTTCCGCAGAGAGGTGACTTGGGGCGGATGTTCAGTATTATGGAGTATTCTTTAATTAATATAAAAAATTTTTTCAGAAACCCGATGATGTCTCGCCGAATCGCTTGCAGCATATCCAGGCCAAGCTGGCGCAGATCAAGAAGGAGAGTCATGCCCAGTAGGACTCTACAGATAAACAGCTATAGAAGACACAGAGAGAGAGATTGAGAGAAAAGAGAAGATGATGTCGTGATGGACGCTTGTCTTCAACTAAATGAATCATTTATTATTTAACATTAGTTATAGTCTGCTTATGCACACACCCGATATACACATATATATATTCACATACACATGCTATGGATGCAGATGCAGATACAGATACAGATACAGAGATAATAATTAGTAACAGAGAAGCAGAACAGCAGCAGCAATGAGATGCAGATGCAGATTCAAAGGCAGGTTAACAAGTAACAATTAACAATAATTAACAGACGCTACAGTACTACTACAACTACTACAACTAATGGCTACACCTAATCCTTGGATCATGCTGCTACTCCTAAAACCACACACTATACCTATATATATTGTACTTGTACTAGCGCTGAGTAATGTTTTGTTTTCGATTGGAATTAGATTGATTTGTTGGATGAGCTGCAAGCGCAAAGCAAACGGCAACAGCAGCATGTTTAAAGTTTTGGAGAGAGCCCTGTTTTGTTGCCTCCTTAGGATCGATTCTTGTTATCGTCTCGTTACGTTTTCCGATTCCTCAACTCCATTTGTTTCCGACCTAAGTTATACTCTTAAACCATAGTTTTTAGCCTCTAGCAGCTACCATTTTAACCAATGTTTAGATTAAGCTTCATTCAGTTTAATCCCCCCACCAGTCACACAGTCAACCAGTCACCCTCCCCCCCTATCATCAAACACACACACTTAAGGCAGACGACAGTCGGACAGCATAGCACGCGTGCGCGTGCGTATTTTTGTAACACACAACATCCTCTATCCTATCCATGAATTATATGCGAAAATAAATGTTATATTTATAATTCAACTAATCCATGGCCACGGGCAACACCACATCCTCTGTTATTTCGGTGAGCAGCTCACCCTCGCCATCCTCCCCCTCCTCGCCCCTGCTGGGCTTTGCATAGCGCGAGGAAATGGTCGCCACACGTATCGCAGCCTTGAAGCCCACACGGGCCTTCATTTTGGCCAGCTTTGCCTTCCAGTTCTCGTCGCGGGACGGCAGCTCGTTGAGGTACTCGATCATCTCCTGCTTCTTGGGATCCACAATCGCCAGCACCGACATGCAGCCATCGACGGTGCCCAGGACAATGGCCCGTCCGTCCTTGCTGCTCTTGATGGCCGTCAGCTCGGCCTGGAGCCGGTAGTTGGCTATCATCTCGGTGTCGCCAGTGCGGAAGACGCGTATGGTCTTGCGGCCGCTGTGATAGTACGCAACATACTCGTCGTTCTCCGTGAAGATGCAGATCACCGAGAAGACGCCCTCGGCCACCTTTGGAATGAACGTCTTTACGGTGGTACCCTTGCGCAGCTCCAGCATCTCCAAGCCGCCTCGCGTCGGGGCATACAGCCCGCACTTGCCGTCCCGCGTGATGCTGCCGCCCCACTTGGCTATGGAGCGGATGTGCTTCTTGGTCTTAATGTCCATGACGCTGCCCTTCTCGCTGCTGATGACAGCCACCTGGTTGGCCTTGTGGGGCATTGGCACCAGGGCGAAAACCTCCTTGATGGCGCAACCCTTGAGCATAATCTTCGAGACGAAGGCCCCATTGGTGGCGCTGTACACGCCCAGGCAATCCTTGTTCGACTTGTCTACGGTCACTACCACGATGTAGGCATTATCCGCAGTCATCACGGACTTGCGGAACGGCATGCCCGTGATCATACGAATGGGGAACTCAAAGCGGAACAGGATGGTGCCCTCTGCAAACGGGATGGGTCAATGGTAAGCTCATAGAATATTGATAGTAATACCCCACCTGGCACTGATCTCAATGTTGTTATAGCCGTCAATCGATTGGCCTCATCCGACGCCGCCAGGATATCCCGCTGATTGATGTTGGGCACCGAGACGGTCAGCACCTTGTAGCCATAGTCAAGGAGGGTGATCTGCTGGATGCCAGGCTGATCGTCGCGAAAGACCACCTGCTCGGAGACGCGATTCCACACCAGAAACTTGCCCGTCTCCGAGGATATGATGTAGCGGCCGTCGGGCGTGATCTCTGCATGCGTGACAATGGCACCCAGGGCACTGTCCGACAGTTTGGCCAGCAGACGGCCCGAGCGGGTCTCCCAGACACCGACGCACCCGCGGGTGACGGTAACGGCCATGTCCACCTCCGACAGGCTGATGTCATCGATCTGCAGCTCGTGGCGATCGATGACGTGCACCTTCTCGAAAATGTTGTTGATGTTCCAGACCTTTACAGACCGATCGATGGAGGAGGTCACCAGGTTGTTCCAGTTGCCGATCGTCAGCGGCTCCAGCTGAATGATACGCCCGAAGTGGGCGTCCAGGACTTTGGCTAGTTGTCCCGAGGGCAGGCACCAGACATACAGATTCTTGCGCACTCCTGCGACGGCATAGTCCAGACGGGAGCTCACCATAATGGAGTTTGACTGCATGATGCGGGTGGTGATGTTCCGCACGCCATGCGGCAGCGGCAGGTACAGCGCGCCCTCGGTCAGACGGGACTCCGTCTCGTCCTTTAGCTTGCCGCCAAAGTCCCAGATCACAAAGCCCTTGCCGGCGGTGCCCAGGAGCATGCGATCGTGCTGGTCCAGGCGCAGTTGCAGCAGCATCTCCTTGTCATCGTTATCGAAGCGCGGCAAGGTCTCCACCAGACTCCAGCTGATAGCACCGCTCACCTCATCCGCCACAAAGTCAAACACGGAAACCTCAAAGTTCTCCTCGCTGGCACAGCCATAGGCCCGAGTGCGTTGCTTGTTCATGGCCAAGGCACTGTAGAATCTCTGCGAATTGGAGTAGTTGCCCCCGCGACAGGAGTCCAGCCGCAGGCGCATGTCATTGATGGAACCCGACCAGAAGACCACGTTGTAGTCCGTGGGACTAAAGAATTCCATGGCTGCGGGAAAAAGATGGGTAAGTAGAGGAAGCCAAGGCGACATCCAGTCACTCACTTAAGATCTCCCAATCCTCGTTCTCGCCAGGCACATCGAAGGTGTCCACCAGATTGCCACGCATATCGAACTGCGCCCAACGCAGCTTGCAAGTGATGAAGAGACTAAGCCCCAGGGATTGGATTAGAGCACCATTAGGCCATAGGGCTGGGGGATGCAAACACTTACCAATGATTGAGCAGATGGAGACCACTGACCGGACCATGGCACTCCTCGAAGGGACTGTTGATCACCACAAATTCGCTGGAGAGCATATTGAGGAGCACGGTCTGATTGTTGTTCGAGTAGGCGGCGGCCCACTTGTTGTCCGGACTGAGCACCAGCTGCTGCATGATGCCCTCTATGCCGGGATTGACGTCGCGAGTCAGATCCGATGTGGACAGATCGAAGGTGATGAAGTGCGTGGAAATGGAGACCATGTAGCGCATGTCGCTGGTCAAGCAAAAGGCAAACACTGCGAACTGATGGCCCTCCAGGGAGTACTAAGAGGATTGCAAAGGGGACTAGGATAAGAGGTCGCAAACATCTTAAAGGAAGCTACCTTCAAGGGCCCTCCTGGAGTGTGCAGGCAGTGATTGACCGGAATGAGAGCACAATCCTTGGGTCCACTGCGATCACAGGCCCGCAGCAGCATCTTGATATTGGGATTGCCCCCAATCTCGGGCAGCAGGCGTCCAATTAACTGCGGAGCCAGCATATTTGGGTAGATGGCGAGAATAGCACCGCCCAAACGGAGAGCATCGGCTACCAGCATCAGCTCGCGCCTGGCCTCCTTGTCCTCCGTGTTGGTGGAGGCATCCTCGAAGTCAGCGAGCACCGCCTGCAGCGGACAGCTCGAGAGCTTGGCGTGCAGCCAGTCGTAGTTGAAGAGGACGTGCTCGAACAGATCCTTGAAGCGTCGCGAGCGCACAAAGTGGAAGGGTAGCTCCCCAAACTATTGAAGATTCGAATGAAAGAGAGGCCAATAGGTAGACGAAACCATTGACGAACCTTGCGAAGATTGTAGCGCTTGGACAGGCCATCCTTGCTACTGAATACCAGCGGCTGGATGGGCACCTTACGATCCGCTGAGCCCTCCTTGTCAGCCAGGCCGAAGCGATGTCGCTGGATCTCTGTGAACTTGAACGGCTTGGGCACGCCGCCGCCCCAGATGCCCAGGTAGTAATCGGCAATCATCGAGTGGAAGTAGATGGCCATGTTCATGTTCTTGAAGTAGCGTTCCTTGGCGGTGTCCCGGAACTGTCGGTGATACCAGTTCATGACATTCACCCCGTCCGCCTCTCGCTCGCTCAGATAGTTGGGCAGATCGTTGCGAATACGCGTCCAGAGGAGCGGCGGAATGCGACGCACTGGCGGCATATGGTACTGATAGACATCGTCTAGCACCTTGTCGTCCAGTGAGATCAGATCCTCCAGTTCGCTCTCCGAGAGGCCAGACTTTGAGGCCGTGATGTAGGCCAGGGCGTGAAAGACCAGAATGCGGCCATGCTGCTTCTCCACGCGCTCAAACAGCAACATAATGGAGTCCATTACCGTGTTGGCCAGATGCGTCTCCTGGGGCCGTGTGTAACTCCGCCAGCGGCAGATCTCGGCAAAGACGAGCTTCACGAAAATTGGCAGCGAGCACTTGCTGATGGCATTCGCCACCAGACGCCACTGGTAGTTGTTGAGATCCCTACACGCCGTCTTCATCCACATCTTGATCACGTTCATGGCCAGCTCCTCGCCCAGGGCCGTCACCTCGATGAAGTTCTCCTCCACGTCAATCATCTTGCACAGGACATGGTACTCGTGTGAGACTGTGGGATTCGCGGGCTCATTGGCGCACGAAATGATGATCTGTAAGGAGTTGAATGGGGAGGATTTCTTAGATATGTTCATGAGGCATGGAAGTGGCTGTGGCTGATACCAAGAAAGGATTGCCTCATGCAGAACGGCCATCCTCTAGGCGTCGTTTTGTGTGAGGTGTGCGAGTGATTTTGCTTAGCACGCACAAGTCAAGCAATTGTAAAAACTTACACGGATTCCCAATGGAGTATAAGAGTTAATTTAAGTTCAAACTTTAAGATTCTTTTGGATGTTTCATGCAGTGCTACGAGGGAATTTTTTTTGTATACAGATCGTTGGATGAATGAGGGTGGAAATTGTAAAGGTTGGGGTCACCTTTCGGCATAT